TTGGAAAATGTTATTTGTGCTGTATCTAGACCCCTCTACCAAGAAATTTGTTTTGCATGCACATGTAATACAAATTTCTTGGTAGAGGGGTCTAAATACAGCACAAATAACATTTTCCAAAAGACCAAAAAGTGAAAAGTATATTTTAACAAAACGCATTTGACTAACAGGTCAAACAACGGATGTTCTTAAACCCTGCTGACTGCCATTGGCGATTGCCAAATAAATTGATCACCAGATGTAACATAGATCTTGATTATTAATTTAATACCAAACAGAAAACAATAAACTTGCGGAAAAGATGGCATATCGCAAACATGAGGTGCAAAAATTTGTACACCATATCCGGATTTCGACAATTAATGTCTCTTCAGTGATGTTAGGGATTGAAACGGTATTTGGAAGGCCATATAATTTACCTCAATTTAGGATAGACTCTTAAATTTCAAAGAGTCGAAATAGGATGACCTGATCATATTAACCCGAAGGAAAATATAATACAAGCCCAAACGAAAAAATATAAACAAGTCTAAATTGAAAACAACGTTCAAACCTATGATTGCGTTGGATAAAGACCGCAATTTTTATACGTGTGCATGTAAAACAAATTTCTTGGTAGAGGGGTCTAAATACAGCAAAAACAACATTTTCCAAAAGACCGAAAAGTGGAAAGTATATTTTAACAAAACGCATTTGACTAACAGGTCGAACAACTGATGTTCTTAAACCTTGCTGACTGCCATTGGCAAGTGCCAAATAAATAGATCACCAGATGTAACATAGATCTTGATTATTAATTTAATACCAAACAGAAAACAATAAACTTACGGAAAAGATGGTACATCGCAAACATGAGGTGCAAACATTTGTACACCATATCCGGATTTCGACAATTAATGTCTCTTCGGTTATGTTAGGGATCGAAACGGTATTTGGAAGGCCATGTAATAACGCTATTAAAAATTTGATATCATAGATATAAGTTTTTCTATTTAATTGCGTTAACTAGATTTCTACACGACTATTTCACATGATATATCGGGAGTAATCTATATTAATTTCGTCACATTCTATTAAAATTGCCATAAATCATTAGGATTTCTACCTGTAGACAGGTGCACATTACTAATCATCAATATTTATTAGCGCTTTTATCACGATTAAACAAACAATGATAAATACCAATTATGGTCAGTATGGAAAATTAGTCGATGAAGCCAAGCCTTATTCGGTATTTTTGTGTATGACCACAAAACAAATTGCTTTCTGCCCTGACACTGTATTACTACTTCTTTTCTTAGCCATAACCAAAAGTTATACTCATTTAAATTGCTTAAATTTTCACTATATTATTACTTCTTTTCTTAGCCATTACGAAAAGTTCTATTCATTTAAATTGCTTAAATTTTCAATTTTATTTTCCTCCCACATCATGGCTATTTTGTTTACACGTTTCTGTCATTATCAGATGATTTTACTTTGACATGCGGTTACAATTATGTTATCTGTAAACGCTTGCCATTTCCTAATGATGACTTGTTTTAATCCCATTTAAAGAGAAAAGACTATTTAATAGCCTACATACAAATATAAAACTAATAAAAAAACACGGAGGGACTCATTTTTTACAGATAATTTCAAATTAAGATTATCGCAATCGGATCAGTGGGTGTTCGCTCTCTGTCGTGTGTACGTATTGTTTTCTTAAATTGGCCGTTTCTTCAAGTTAGTTCGTGATATAATTGTGTAGAAAATGGATGATAAGCAATTGTAAATGTGTTTAATTTCCAAATGTAACGTAATAGATTTTTTTTAATCTTAAAAACCCACATCTAAAATAAATAAATCGGCCAACACGCGGTATACAGAAAGGCTGAAGATACAAAAGGAATAGTCAAACTCATAAGTCAAAAATGAACTGTGAATACCACGGCAAAAAACGAAACACGACCAGAAGACAATCAAAATTCTACAAAACACAACATAGAAAACTAAAAACTAAGCAACATAAACCCGGCCTTAAATTTTTTTTTTATTTAGATCTCAATCCAACATGTCAATTTTTATCAGCGGAAAAGCAAAGCTAAGTATAAAAAAACGTACAATAAAAATAAATATCTTTGCACAACTTGTTTCAAATGATTTTTTGAATTATGGTATAATTTCTCCTCTTTATTGAGACTGGATAAGGAAATAAAATATTAGTATTTTGTTTTCTTTTTTGACATATTGGATGATCCTGTTATCTAAAGACACCAAATACCTAAATTACTTTTTGAGTGTGGGAACTTCTTTAAGAGATATTCAAGAAGCTTTGTAGGACATAGGAGACGTATTGATTTCCCCAAAACGATATATTTTGCAGTAAAGAAAGAGAATTTAAAAACCGCAAGAAAATTCCAAGGGATAATAAAAAGAAATAAGTCTACAAAAGACAAACAACAACATTACACCTGCAAAGAAAAAGGTCGAAAAGACAATAAAAAATAAACAAAAATTGAACATTACACTTTATATAAATTTGCTGCGTCATAAGCGCCTCTCTGAATAGGCCTTCATCAGGAGCTCTCAAAGCCACTCATTTGGATGTATAAGAACCGACACACGTGAATACCATATGACCAAAAGGGACATAACTTTAACTTGATAGCCAAATCCGTCAAGGTCAATTTTGCATGAGGGAGTTGAAACCTTTGTTAATATTTATTTTTTAATCTATAAATAGAAAATTTAAGAAAGGTCTGTTCTAAACAACATTCCAAAAACAATATACAGAAAACTCAAGATTGAGAAATTCGGATTTAAAATTTGTCAGCAGTGTATTTAAAAGTCGTCAACTTGGCTAAACAGTTAAAAAAGGGTTAATCATATCAAAATCTCAGCATCTACAGACTTGGAAATATTGCTGAACTTGCAGACATACAGATAAAATGAAGATGCGCTACTTAGACGGATTTTCGGATATTTCTTTGTTTGGTGTTTATTGTTTTGTTGTTTGTTTGTTGTTTGTTGTTTTGTTGTTGTTGTTTGTGGGTTGTGTTTTTGTGTTTTGTTTATATTAACATTAAAGTATACCCTACAGCAACTATAAAAAATAAAAAAATAAAAATATAACGTTAATTATACACATTATCGAGAGAATAAAACAACAACAAAACCAGCATTATATCTTTGAAATTGATATGGTTTAATTAGATTGCAGGTATAAAATAATATATTGAAATAAAAGCACTCACAGCAATGACGTAAACATAGTGTGTGATATATCAGTGTAACCTTCTATCAAAGAATAGGTTTTTTAATTGGAAAAGTTAACATACGGTATAAATATTGACATTCATCAAAATAACATATTAACTGAAAAGTTATAAAAACAAAATTTAAACACAAAAAAGAGATTTATTTTATTTGCTTTCGTCTAGCAAAGGGTATATTAAAAGTATACACGTACATACTGGATCACTGATATGAGCACGTAATATTTATCACGAATAGGGCCGTACAAGCACGGTATGGATTCTTATTGTTCAGCGATAAGTCATTCATATTTTGGTATATAAGCTGCGTCGGATAGAAATCGACCTTATGCAAGAGCACGTTTACATGTACATGTGTAAGAATTTGATTGATTTTGGAACATTCAAATACGAAATAAAAGATTAGTTTGGTCTGTTTTGTAGGGTTCTTATATCAACTAATTTTTATAACAGTTACAGACTTTGCATAGAGATTTTTTCAACCCGATAAATGGTTAACAGATGTATTGATATTCATTTGCATAAGGTCGATTTCTATCTGACGCAGCTCATATGTAGATAAATGGAAGTATTATATATTCCATGGTATATATAAGTTAAATGACTTATATGTTGTACTCTCACATGCCATAACTTTGACAGATTTTATGCAAGTTTCTTGCAAGAAAAAAATATAAACATCTATTCGTGAATTTTTTTAAATTCAAATTGGTTGAATATTCCTGATAAAAATTTTTTTTTTTTAATATGAAGAAGATTGACATTATCAAAAAATAAACTTAATTCTGTAAATATCAGATGGTATGTTTATTTTTACATTTACTTTTTATCTAGGATTGCTTAGACTAAGAAAAAGCCACATAATGTTATGGTCACATGGATCTGGCTCTTAAGTACACGGGAAAAAAAAAAAACAATTAGTCTTTTATTTCCAAAGTGCAATCACGCAGAGGTGCATGTTTGTAAAATGATTAAAATGTTGACAAGCTAGATTTAGAATCTACATGCTAATTTGTAATCTGCAAGATCATTTTTTTTCATGGCCACAAAAAAAATATTGTTTTATTTATTTTGCATATTCTATGTTATTTGACCTTTTACTTATCTACAAAGAATCCGGCAGTACTTAAGATTTGAATGAAGCGCGTTATTGCGGATAACCTTTATATCAAAACTGTATGCATTGACCCGAACCTTGAAACTTTTTAATGCGGTCGAAATCCACATATTGCGTGGAAAAGCATTTAAAGTACAACAACTCATATTTTCGAGCCGTGAAGAGTTTGTAGCGCAAGCTATCTTACCATACTATCTTACATAAAAAGTCACAGGTTAAAAAAAAACAAAAAACAAAACAAATCGTTAAGTACCAGCTAGTTACGAATTAATCGTCTTCAATGACAGTCGAGTTCTCGAAAAAAAACCGACCCTTATGAACATTATGAAGTATTTGTGTATCTGTTTATAGAAAATGATATTTGAAAATATAAAGAATGGGAATGAACAGTTGTACACAAATAACAAATTAGTTTATAATAAACAAAACAATAGGCAAAATTTGAGGGTATGGGATAATATATTGTACATTTGATTTTACATGAATTCCTAAGAATTTTCATGGAAAATATAATGGTTGTGGACCTTTTAAATACGATTAATTTTATGGATTTTACACAGTGTTACAACAATCAATTTAAACATATGTTTGTAGTATAAAAATTTGATTAACAACATAGAACATACCGGAGATACATAATTGAATCCTGTTCTTTTGGCCACTGCTTTAGCGGCATCGATACCACCCTCTCCTTCTAACTCCACAAGCCAGTGGTTTGTAAGTACTTCAGTTCCACATGATAGATATATGTTGATAACAATTGATACAATAAGTGATGTCCATTTTCCAAGATTTACCATTTCAAGTCGTCCCTTAACCGTTATATATTTTTTTTTTTTTTATTCCAAACACTTATATGTTTCTGTCTTATTTGTGTATTCAAAGATCAAATAAAAGAAATGAAAATTTAGTCCGTTTTAACATATGATAAACACGATTCCTTGTTTAGATAACCATTTGTGGAATAAATAGAGAATATGGAGGATTGGATCACGTGATTCCTATCTACGTCACAGAAGCATTTTCTGGTTGTGTGCTCATCTCATCAGTTTCTGATAAATCAATGAAAATATGGCGGAGCGAGAAGCCATGATAATACGGCTCCACATGATATGTTTCCATGGAGGAATCAGAAGATATTGATTACATGACAATTGTCTCTCTATTGATTGCTTTCATACTTTCTTGTCAAATTACGATTCATTTGCGGATATGACCAAATAGGTCAATGAGAGTCGAACTATCTATTAACGAATAAATAATTAAACGCAAATTTGCCAAAGTCAGACTTGAAACGTCATCATACAATTGTTTTCTATTGAACAACAATAAGTTTAGCATGTTAAGCTTGCTGCTGTATTGACAGTACAGTAAAGTTCGTTTTGAAATATTAATATCTTTTATCCATTACCAATAAAATGAATATAACATGGAATTATTCGACTATTTGAGGTTATGATAGTTCTTCTGAAAAATGCATAAATTGAGTAGCCTATTTAACTTAATATACATTACATTTTTCTGCAATGACTGGACATCACAGAAATATCCCTAATTTTTTTAAGTCACAATAATAATGAAATGTTTTAAAATGGTACTTATATTTATTATTAATCATTGATAATAGTTTTATGGTGACCCGTCAAGACTCTGCATCAAAGTACCAAGACTGCATCAAGTTGCCAAGACTCAGCATCAAAGTGTCAAAACTGCATCAAAAGCCGTCAACTCTCTGCATCAAAGCCGTCAAGACTCTACACCAATACATGAAATATACTAAGAAAGATTCATCAATATCTAAATGTTGATATCTTTTTATGTTATAAATGGGGAATTAAGTCGTCTCTATGATAAATATGAATAAACGAAACAAAGCGTGAACATTTCGTGAAACACATAATTGATTATCGAGCAAACAAATGTCAAATTAATAGCAAAATATTGAATAAGAGAATTTAATCTCCAATAATCTTGTGTTAAACATATTCCGAATTTCGATATTTTCACAGATCTGTATCACACATATCAATTATCATCATGATGAAAACACCTGTCAATGTTTAATAGATATTATACGCCTTTGTTTCTATAATTATATGACAATTTCATATTCATCATGTTGATTATCATGGTTTACTTACAATAGTAAAAAATCATTCGTCTTATTTTAGAAGGAAATATCTACTTTTATCTCTACATTTGAAAATATTTATTCAGTGGCCAATCATTAGGGGTCTAGGGGAGCCGCTATTTTATATTAGGAAGCCTATTTCATCAACAAATTTTTTTGAAGCAAATAAACAAACAACCCCTCACTCTAAACCACCTCGGCCGACAGTGAGCGATATAAAGAACTGAACCCTCTTTCAAAATCCTGGATCCTCCACTATTTTATTCCCCCCTCAAAAACTACTTAATTACCTTCCCCCTTTTTCTTTCAAATCCATAATCCGCCACTGTGTTATTCTCCCTCTCAAAATCCTGAATCCACCACTGTGATATTCTCCCTCTCAAAATCCTGGATCCACTACTGTTTGTATTACTCCCCCTTCTTTCAAAATCCTGTATGTACCTCTGTTAAATATCACATAGACCCAAACCCAAATAAAACCGCAAATAAACAATACAAATCTCAAAATAAACACCAAAAGGTCAGTATGAAACAGTATTTTCAAGGCAAGACAAAGAGAATAACAGTTACTAAGACTCTAAGAAATATTATATCAGCTTTCTCCAGTAACAAGAATGAACACCTGTCATCTTTGTCAAAGCAAGACAAGTAAAACTTAATGAAAAGTGCAGGATTAAAAGTCTAGTGGTACCATTCATAATATCTTTTTGTTTGTCTTTTGCTCTTTTTTCGATTTTTTGCCATGGCGTTGTCAGTTTGTTTTCGACTTTGAATGTCCCTTTGGTATTTTTCGCCTCTCTTTTATTGGAGGTTCTATACAACACACATTTTAATCAACGCTACATATGTAAATTTCGCTAATTGGTAAATAAATGACGGAAAACATCATAATAATGATCAACAAAAACGCGACTTAAATAATCAAATATCGAGTAAAAGTTCAGTTACACGAACCCTGTTAACATAGAGGATGAACTTAAGTGCCCTGTGAAGTTTATTAGCTCGATGATATCTATCTGGAAAAAAACTGCTTAGTGCTGAATGTTAAATAAATTTGATAGACCAAGGATATTCATTCATTTTGTTTGTTTTCAACATTAACAGGCTAGACATTTGTTCGGTGTAATAATTTTTTCGAGTCTAACGGTTTTAACAATAGCAAGTTTAAACTTTTTTATGAAATAAGGAGATGTGGTCTGATTGCCACGCCTTCAACAATGAGCAAAACCATACCTCATAGCAAGCTATAAATGGCCCTGTCACGGCAAAATGTAAATCAATTCAATTGAGAAAACCCCCGATTTATGTACAAAACAACAAAAGAAAAACTAATATGATAAACGGCAACAAACGACAACCACTGAATTATAGGCTCCTGACTTGGGACAGGCACATACATAATGTGGCGGGGGTTAAACATGTTAGAGGGCACCGTCCAACTCTCCCCCTAACCTTCGACAGTGGTATAAAAGTATGACATAAAAACAAACTATAAAAATCAGTTGTAAAAGGATGAACTCATCAGATGGATACAAACAGAAATGCATATAACACAAAAGCACAGAGTGGACGTGGCAGGGTACTTATACATCCCCACAACAAAAAGACACTAAGTACAGATCTGAGAGTACTCACTGACAGCTAGTTCAAAGGCAATAACAGCTAATAAAAAAATCATGCATCTAAGACTAAAATATCAATCAGTACACACCCAAGATCCAATGGATTTAATGTAAAGACATCATTAACAGTCAGAGAAAAACATGACCTTGTGCAATGCCAAGATACAGGTATCGATAGATTGTAGAGCCATGAATGTGCATATGTGTCTAAAAATAATATCTAGTTTGATTTTAATTTACTGATAACAAAATCAATATTAATACCAATAAAAACAATATAAGTTCTTTTATTGTATATATAGTTAACATAATATTTAATCATTGTTATTGTTTAATATTTTGCATGAAGAATGTTAATACAATAAGATGATAAGAAGTCTTGCTGAATTAAAATGTTAACGAATAAAGAGATAAATCGAGTTGAATACTACAAGGTTCGCGATTCAATAAAGTCTCAGTGGATCACAGTTTTTAGATACAAAACGAGACACAATTATAAGAAAAGGACACAATTAAATAAAATAATCTGGAATGTAAAACACAAACGATTTAAAACATACAAATACACACAAACAGAATTACACGTCGGAGAAACTAACAAGATGCATCAAACACGGTTACTCGGTTCAGATATTAGCAAAAAATGTCAAATTTTGTAATACCCTCCTACCGTCGCCCTACCTTAACACACACACACACACACACACACACAAATATAACCTAACTGTACCTACACCACAACAAAGGAAAATAGAAATACGACATAATTTGTCTCAATTAATTATTTTCTAATGGAGGGTTTTTTCTACTCTTAATATGTCATGGCGATTTCTCTTTTTCTAATTATTATCTTTCAGTAGATCAAAACATTAAAAATAATCAAACATTATAATTTTATTAGATAACGGTCACGTCAATTTGTAAAATGAGGTTAGATAATAATAGCAGTTTACAATAAACATGACAAAACCGACACATATCTATATAATATTATCAAGCCGCAGATCAATTTATTTCTAAGAAACAAATTAAAACAGTTGTGATAAAAATGTAGTGAATAGTTTAAATAATGATAAATAGATACAATGCAATTGAGACAAAAGTAACTAAGATCATGGAAGTTCATGAATTCTTGGAATGAATATGTTTCATCCGTTTCCAAATTGAAACATGTAAAGTAAAAAATCAAAATCTTGTCTTGGTTCCTAACAACAGAACATGATAGTCTTTGTTTTTTTTTTTCACTTTGACTTCTCAATTCCATGCTTTACGATCTAATTTGGAATGGAGTACAAACTGAGATATGTACACCTCACAGTATAATTGAATAAATCTATTGGCTAATAAATTAACACGTGGTGTGAATTAATTTGGATATTTTCGTCCAAATCGGCAGGGCCGGTAAGTAACCTCGGCAAATTGTATCGTTCGGTGAATAACCCTATTATTCACCGCCAGTGAAGCCAAATTGAATGCCAATGTTTGATCGGTATAATAAAACAGTTACGGCCCTATGAGTCGGGATATATCTATAATTGTCAACCCTGCTGAGGTTTATTCCCCTCGGGAAAATAGCCCATAGCAGGGTTGACAATTTTGAATATCCCTCTCTTCAGTCGTAATTGTATATCATGACATTGTCCTGATTGTAAACTTTGGAATCGAACTGACTAAAGACAAAACAAACAAACTGAAACGACGTATTCATATTCTATATCAAAAGTAAATGTTATGAATTATATATTTAAAACTTATAAATAGTATGATGAATTACATAATGAATTACATAATGCTTTTAAGACTCTCAAATTTCAAATACAAATATGTTTGATCTTTAAACACTTCTTAAAAATCAACAATATGTATTTCACATTTTACTTGTTTAATGACTCGAAACCAAGGATAGTGCTTGCTTGATTTGTTAATTCGTTTCCTTTGTTGGTAAACTACTTTGATTCATTACTGAATCGCGTTATGACTAAAGGAAACTGTCAACTAATTTTCAATGAGTACATCGCGTGACCAGAGACGACAAAGGTTGTTTGAAGATGCTAAAATAGAAATCGTGCACTCAACAATCGTATGCCATTTTGTTTGTTTCCAAATAATGCCAAAGAGACAAAGGCAAAAAGTGAAACAACATATTTTATTCAGATATTGTGTGACAAGATTGCTAATTGCAGTAGGCGTTATTCCTTTTGAATACCAAGAGCGTGTTACATCGACAGGAAGGAAAGGCCTAAGCGAAAACAAGATATGTTCCATACAAAACATATTTAGTTGTTTAATTGCTTCATAACAAAAAAG